GTGGTTGCAGAAGATTAGGTTCAAGGACCATTCAGTGGTTACTGGAGGGGAGTGGTATACTGCACTATTGGTCACTCAAAAAGGCCAAAATCATTTTTAAAAAACGGGAATTTATTGCGCTAAATGTTTTAGCGACCACGAAATTGGTGGTTGCAGAAGATTAGGTTCAGGGACCATTCAGTAGTCACTGGAGCTGTTTTCATACGTGGGAAATTTTTTGCTCTTTTTCCACACTACCTTTACCAACCAATCAAATGTATGGTCTCTAATTCTCTGAATCAGCGACCAAACATTGGTCGCAATAAAACATAACAAAATTAGTCCAATTTTACCATACCAAAATCTATACCAACCATTAGTTGGTCCATGCACGTGTCTTATAGCAACCATGTTTTAGTGGTCGCTAAAATTTTGGTGGGTGGAACCCATTTTTTTTGTAGTGTCTTATATAAAATTTTATTACTCAAAAGTGATGTTTTATTTATAAGTGTTTTTTTTTTTTTTTTACATATAAGTTAATATTTAACTTTAAAAATTGAACAAAGTTAAATATTTACTCAAAATTTTTAGTTAGTATTTTTTACTTAAAATTAGATTCCACATTTTTATTAATGTTATACTTTTAAATACTTTTAATTATTTTTACTTATAATTAATTATTTTTATTTTATAAGTGTATTTTTATCTTATGAGTAGTATTTTTATTTTATAAACAATTTTTTTTTATATAAAAGTGATTTATTACTTATAAGTAATTTTTCAATTATAATGTAATTTTCTTAACTTATAAGTAATATTTAACTTATAAGTATTTTTAATTATAATATAATTTTTCTGCTTATATATAATTTTTAAATTGATATATTTTTATTTACAAGTTAGTTTTGAAGAAAATATGTTGGTTGAAAATAATTATTTTATCGAAAGTAAAATTAGAAGAGAATATGAGAAATAGACAAAATTCACCGATTTGATGAGTTGAGAGAACCAGTTAAAATTCCACTATACCGATTTTGAATAATTAAACCAAACCATTGAAAATCGGTGCCCAAAAACATAACAAGCACCGATTTTTCGAACTTCTTATAAATGGATCCAGCCAAAATCGCTAATTTTAAAACAATGTCTAGTTTGCTTGTAGCAATTTTTTAGCAATTCATAGAAGAATTGGAGATATTCTTACTAGTTGTCCCTCCGTCTTCCAAGCAGTTGTAACCTAAGTAATTTCTTTTTATAAAATGTAATAAAATATATCAAATATGTACATTCGTTACAAAAATTTAGGGATAAAGTTAAGTTCAGATTGAGTACCCAAAAAAAAAAACATTAGATGCATATTTTGAGAAAAAACTGAGTTGAGATAATAGAAATTGTACAGTAAAAATTTACATAATATGTATTTTAAGATTTTACATATTTAATCAATCATTAATCTCTAAAGGATTTTAAATAAAAATATTATATTATTTATTTTGTGAGATTGTTAATTCTCTTGTTTGATAGCCATTATTTTGAGAAAAATGAGTTTTGAATAGTGATTTTTTTAGAGAATGTGTGTTTAAAA